CAGAAAATTAGTTTTTCTTCATCCTTCTTCTGGTCTGGCTATTGTGTCCTTTTTCCATGTGTAGGGCTCCTCTTTCTTCCTGTTCATTTACCTATTTTTTCATGTCATCCACAGCCTCTGTGTGTGCTTCTATATAGCAAATAGACGCATCACAGCTTAATTAGATGTTAGGAACAAGATGCAGGCCAAAGTTGATAAGATATACTTTCATGCATTTCTTACACTAGCTAGCTTCTCTAAATACAGTTATAGATATCAGGATTGGGATCATGGTGTTTGTTGAAGAAGAGAGAAACCCACATACTCCCAGCACAATGGAACTCATCTCCTACATAAATTCTTATTAGCTCTTACAGGAAAGCTTCCTTTGGTGCCATTGAGTCTTTCCTGCTGGATATTTAGGAACTTCAGTGGATGAATGAAAGATTTCTGCCAGGAGTACAATGACATTAAGGGTTCAATCCCAACACTTCTCATTCTAGATTACTGACTCCTACATAGGGTTGCCAGACGTCAGGCAAAAGGAGGACATGTCCTCCTTTTAAGCCTAATGTCCTCTGTCCAGCAGACAAAGCTAAAAACTTTTAAAATGTCAGGCATTTGTCTACATGGCCTTCTTCCTCCTCTTCGTCTTACCCGAGGAAAAACAGATGGTTTTTAAATAAGGGGACACCATAACGAAGAATTACTTTGTAAGAGCGGAAGTGAAGCAATCACAGAATCACACTGTAGTCTTTTTTTTAAACGGGCGGACGTCCTGTGATCACACGGTGTCTGTTTCGTTCATTGTCTCCCCGGTTGCTAGGAAGGAGGATGAGACCAGTTGCTCAGATCAGGTAAGAAATGGGGAGGGACAGTGGCGCTCTTTAGAGTTGGGCTTCTTCCTTCAGCAGCAGCCGTTGTGAACCAAAGGAGTGGTTCTGAAGAGAAGGGTGTCTTTCAGAGCTCAGGAACCTGTGGCCTTCCAGGTGGTGTTGAAATCCAACACCTACTACCAAACATTAAAGTAAATAAATAAAAGGTTTTTTTTCCAAAATCTGGTAATGGAGGACTGTAGAGCAACTTCTGGAGTGTCTAAGCAGGGAGATTGTATTTTTAAAGAAATATATTTTTGTGCTAGCTGGCAGCCTAATAATACCAGTTGCTCTATTTTAACTTTGTTGGTGATATAACATTTATTTTTATTTTTTAACATGACTGTTTCTTGATCGGTTCACTAAGAGAAATTTATTGGCAGCTTGTGATTGAGTTCTTTCAAACCTGGTGACAGTTCCTCACTTTTGATTTATTCTCTTCTGGAGTCTCAACATCAACTGGGTCAAAACATAACAAGTTAACTGGGACTCATTGTCCAACTTCAGTTCATTCACTGCGGGGCTGGCCCAAACCGTTCACGATTGGTAATCTTGTGTAAGAGAGCACTCCTCATTACGCATACTGTCCCACAACATGGGTGTCATGCCCAATCTCCCTCCTTTGGTGGGCTGTTGTATTTTGGATCAGGGCGAATCACCTTCCTCCCACGTCCTTGTCCGTGTGGAAACACAATCACAATCCATTCTTGTGTTTCATAGACCGTTTTTCCTTCTTTAGGAATGTGTGGATTTGGATGTAGACCTCCTACTCTCAGATTAGGGGAGTCTTTAAGTAGGTTGCATGCTTTCTCATGTTTCTGATCAACATTCCCTGAATCTATCTCTGACTGATCCTCTCTTCTCTTCTTTTCTATCACTCTGCTGCTAAACCTCCGCTCTCCCCCTTCTTTTATCTCCTCCTTCCACATAGAAAGTTTTAACTCCTCCCTTTTTCTTCCTTCTCCTTCCTCCACCAAAAAACCCTCTATTTTTTTCTTCCCATCCCCTAACACTCCTGTCACTCTTTCTATGTCACCCTCTTTGATCTCCCTTTCCTTCTTTTCTGGTCCTGTTGATGAGGACGGCACATTTGTATCCTGTTCTCCTTCACACAGCTATTGTAATAAAATTGTATTGATTGCGGGTTTAATCCGGAACAATTCAAATGAAACGTTCAATACATCCTCCTCTGTCCTCTTTTTTCTCTTTCTATGTCCTCCATTTGGTACCCATGTATCTGGCAACCCTACTCTTACAAGTGTTAATTAGTAGTGGTGGAACAAGACCTCTTAAACATATTTGTATATTTTCAACACTAAATCTAGCTTTATGGCACCTTAAAGATTAACTGTTACATTTTAATGTGAGCTTTTCAGACGTATGGAGTAAAATGCAGAGTTCACAAGTAAAACATTCATGCTGGCTTTAAAAGTCACTGGTATATGGTCACATTTCACTCATGCAGTAATGTATGACCTAGGTTTGATGTTCTCTTCTTTTGAAGTCTGGTTTTGTAAACATTTCCAAAAGAGTCAGAAAACAAGCCTAGAGGAAAAAAGGGTGTGTGTGGGAGAGAAAAAGGCTTGTACTGTAAAGACCAACTGTGAGCAGCAACATGATTAACTCTACTGACTCTTAAAGCTGGCATGAAAATTTTACTTGTGAACTCTGTATTCTACTTTGTATGTCTGAAGAAGTGGGCTTGTCCTTGAAAGTTCACATTAAAATATAACATTTAGTATTCAAGGCTTTTACACACACACACACACACACACACACACACACACACAAACACAAATTGAATTTTGATATGCACAGACTAACATGGCTACCTCTTCTAAAACTACATCTAGCTTGATTCTTGTGCTGACTATCATCACTTTAGCAATTGATACTTTCTTCACTGCCTGAAATCCTGTTGCTTAACATAGTGAGCTACATTAGAGTAGGGAAACTGAATCAGTGGTGATTTGGTTAGTTCTCTGTGCTTGATTCACATGGGCCTATTCTGATTGTGATCACATGAGGAAGTAGATTGTGGTTTAGATCACTTGTGGAACAGTCTGGCACAATCTCTCCCAGAGATCACAGAACACATGGAAAAATGCACTGCAGCCCAGCCCCAATTTATGCTCAAGCTGGACCTTTTTGGCTTCTACTCTTTGGGATTAGGCTGCAACAATTCCATGGCAGATAGAAGGTTCACTTTAAGGGAGATGACTGATTGCACCCTTACTATGCTAAAGTAAGTTACAGCCAGAGGATATACATTTGAATCAATAGAACTTAACAGATGAATTAACTCACCAAATCACCACTGATTCAGTGGGTTTCCTGTAGTGTGGCTTACTATGCTAAGCAACAGGATTTCAGCCGGTGTCACAAAAGCTGAATTATTAATAAACATACTTAACTAATCCTAATTTCTCAGGTCACTGCCCTTTATGTTAAAAAGCTGGCAGCAATTTATTAAGGAGTTCGTAAATGTAGCAATATATTTCCATTTAAAATGCTAAATTAGGGCAACATTTTTCTTCTCAGCTGCATACAGTTTCAAGGTTTCTCTAGTTTTGTAATGGAGAGAAAGAAACCTGTCACTCTATAATCTGTTTAGAATTCTGAAACAGTAATTTACTGTGGTTATGTGAAGCTGAGAGCAATGTTGTCAGGAGACTCCATTACAAGCCTAGACTTATTTATACTGAAGACCTGTACAGAAGAGAGAAAAGGATGACAGATTTCTTTGAAGACAAATCCTGTGAAGAAAAACCTGCAGCTCTAGAAAGTGAAGTGAAAGCTGCTCTGAAAGCATTGGGAAGGCATAAATAATCAGGGATAGAAGGAATACCAATAGAATTATATTAAGTTACAGAGTCTGAATCTGTCAAATTCCTATGCAGAATATTCCAGAAAATATGGAAAAGAAAGCAATGGCACACAGGCTGGAAATGATGAAACTGAGGCTGTCCTACTTTGGACATGAGACGGCAACATTCTTTGGAAAATACAATAGTGCTGGAAAGTTCGATGGCAGCAGGAAAAGAGGAAGATTACAGACAAGATGGATCAACTTCCTAAAGGAAGTCACAGCCTTGAGTTTACAGGAGCTGAGCAGGGCTGTTGAGGGCAGGACATTTTGGCGATCACTCATTCATAGGGTTACCATGGGTTGAGGACAACTTGACGCAGGTGACAACACAACAACTTGACATGAGTCTCAAAATGCAAGATCATGCTTTTGCACCCACTTGTAGCTATTGGAAGATGGGTTTCACGGAGGAATAGTAATGCATTGAGCAATTTGGCAGCAACAGAATCAAATTCTGAAGATGTGATCGTGCTGGCTGCGGTATTCTGGGAGCCTTAGTCTGGAAAACTAATTTTTCTATCTCTGAAATGGAGAGTGAGACCCATATGCCCTTAACACATGTGCCCTTAACAACCCAACCTTCATTTCAGTGAGGTGCTCCAAGAAAACATAACAGTGAAGCAGAATGCTGAGCCATACCCCAAAACCTAAGCAAAACTTCCGTCCCACAAAGTACTGGTAAGATGGATGTTGGAACAAACCATCAAGTACAGAGTTAAAAAAAAGTACACACATACTCATAGAGACTCTCTTGCACATAGCATATCTCCAGGTTGTTCCCACCTCCCTTAGCATACCTTTCTCTTTCTGTTCCCCCACCCCTCAAGTGGATTTCTGAATTATGTGCTAAAGAGCAGCTGCCCACCATCCTTGTTTCCTGAAAATGCTTCTGAAGCCCATATGGGCTCCAAAAGCATTTGCACAAAGCAGACTGGCAATTTGCCTTGTAGCATGTCAGCTTCCCATTGAAAAAAAAAACCTTTGTATTTTTTAAAATCATGTTTTAAATATGGGTGCAGATAACCCAGCTAGTACCAAGGGAGATGTTGGTGGGCATGGTAGTGTTTTGTCCATGGTGGTTGTGAGAAGAGACATTTCATGCTGATGATTAAAGCTACACTCTATACACTCTCTGAAGAAAAGTAGGAAGGGCAGTGACCTAAAGAGTGCTTTTAAATGTTCTGTATCTGTCAACACCTGTTGCTATATGCTGTTTATAAATGTACTTGCCTCTGTGAAATTCTAGCAAATAAAATATATATTACATGTTTTTACAGCGCATACAAGCTGCAATCCTAAAAGCATTCAATAATCCAACCACCAGAACAGCAGATGAGGAGACGAAAAGAAAAGTCAAAGGTCTGTGATCTTTCAGCAAAGCTCCGTCATGTTATTTGCACTGAGTCTGATTTAAGTGTATTTTTGCAGATGAATTGTGTCTATGAAAAATAGTATGTTCATGCATTTTGCACTTGCTTTCAAAATGAATTACAGTTAATCTGAAATCCTGTAGACTTTCTATATGCTTTCCATTAGTCTGATGCCATCTAGTGTACCAGATTAGTTTATGCAACAGTAACCCTGGTCTAATTATGCATCTCATGTTGAGGTCAGCTACATTTTGTATTGATTTTACAAAACCATTCACAAAAACAAATGAGTTGGAGTACTGTTTTTGTCAGTTTCTTCCTCCATATAAAGCTCTAGCGTCATAATTCATATTAAAGCATTTGTCTCTGGACAGTTTATTGCAAATTATGAAGACGTTTGGAATTGAGATACTGAGGTCCAGAATTATACATTTCTTTCTTGACTACTCCCCTTTAAGAGTTAGTTCTGTTTTTTAAAAAGTAGTGGGAAAGGTAGGAAAGGTGGAATTATTCTAAGTGCTGCTGATGTTTTACATACCAGTTGTTTGTTTTGAAATGACCTTTGCTCCAAATTGCAGAAAGAGAATAAAAATTGAAATTAACCATGAATGATCCTCAATAATGTTGCATTGATGAATGTGAACCATAGCTTCATTTTTTTATTTACAATATTGTGAATATTTACCTCCAGTGCACTGAATGCTTTTGGAAAAAAATCTAGAGTAAATTATGTTGCATTTAGAAAGGCTGTGTTTCCATATTTTTGAAAGTGTTGTTTTTCTTTTCAGCATACGGAAGAGAGGGTGTTAAGATGAACTTTATAGATAGGATCTTTGTTGGTGAATTGACAAGCACAATCATGTGTGAGGAATGTGAAAATGTAGGTACATATGAAATCTGATTTGTTGTAGGTAGAAAAACACTTGATGATCTTACTGTGTTTAGATCTGTTTCCTGTGTGTATGAGTATCTATGTATGTATATTTGTATTAGAAGGGATGTCCATGTCAGTCTGTTATAGCATATCAAACAAACACAAAAGAAAAATTAAAAATACAGTGGACCTTCGACTTACAGAGGGCTCGACTTACAGACTTTTCGAGTTACAGACTTCTCTGGCTGCAGACAAACACAAAAGAAAAATTAAAAATAAGGAAGACAAAAACATTGTCTTACGTCTGAGGGAAGTGGACTTGTGCACGGAATCTTAAACATAACAGTTAGTCCTTAAGATGCCACAACATTTTTGTTGTCTTTTTCTTTTTCTTTTGCCAGATATGTACGTTTGTGTGTGTTTGATTGATTGATTGATTGATTGATACACTGCCCCATAGTGCAGTGCACTGGGCAGTTTACACAAGATTGAAATTTACAAAACCTCAGTATCCCACATTAACAAAAAATCATTAATTGGATGTCAAATTGTTTCAAAATACAGTGGTACCTCGCAAGATGGGTGCTCCGTTTAACGACAAATCCGCATTACGACGAGGTTTTTGCGGTCACAAAATCTATCGCAAAACAACGTTTTGAATGGGGGAATTTTCCTGCACGATGATGGGTTCCCTGTTTTGGGAACCGATTTTCGCTTCCCGACGATCAAAACAGCTGATCGTTGGGTTTTCAAAATGGCCGCCGGGTGGTCAAAATGGCTCCCCGCTGTGTTTAGGAGCCATTTTTCGCTGCACAGGCACCTGAAAATGGCTGCCCCTATGGAGGATCTTCGCTGGACAGTGAGTTCTTAGCCAATTGGAACGCATTAACCAGGTTTTAATGCGTTTCAATGGCTTTTTTATTTTCGCTTTACAACATTTTCGTTCTATAGCGATTTCGCTGGAACAAATTAACGTCGTAATGTGAGGCACCACTGTACATATTTCTTTAAGTTCTATTGTCATGTGGAGTGGGGAGTTGAATGTTTCAAGAACCATGATATTCCACCTAGATAATTCTAGACTGGAGAACTGAATTTTAATAATGCAGTCAGAGCATAGATTAAAATCATATTACATATTTTGGGAAATATTGTGCTTCTTATATAATATATCTAACTGCTTTCTCGCCTGCTTTACTGGTTGAAGACAAATGAAATGTTCTTATAGCACTGTTGCAGCTTTGTGATATTATCAGGCGCATGCATGCACACATGTGCACTCTTCAAAATTCTCTGGATAGTCCTTCATATGCAACATGAACCTAAACCTATCAGCTGTAGTAAACATTAATACTTTATCCAAAGAGCAAGAATTGTAGAGAAATAATTTCCATGGAAATATTAATGAGTATGGAGAGCCTTTTTATACCTGAGCCAATGGGCTGTAATCTGAGCTGCAACTCCCTGGCCAGGTGAGGAGGAAAGGCATAATAGACTTCACTAGGAGATGTGTTGGCCACAACATGTTGTATCTCTGAGGCTAAGAAGCGATAATGTGTTTTTTGTGGGGTCTTTGGCTGAAGTGCGGTCAGTGGACCTTGCTTGCTATGTAAAAAGACTCATCCTGCATTTGCCATTCCCCAAGTCATTTGCCCTTCTTCCCTGCTGAGATACATCATTTTGCAGAGCTGTGGGGAGGAGACAGATATGGAAGGACAAGGATGCAGAGTTTATTTCTTCTTCCTCTCATTTTCCACTTGCTTGAACAGAGAGGAGCAGGAAGGAAGAGGATATCTCCAGAAATTGCCAGTGGGTTTTTCCTTCTCCAACTATGCTGCCTGTCCTGTTGGTTTGGGGGTTATAGATAGCCAGCTGTTTAGCAGGCTCCTAGTTCTACCAGCTAACACACTGTCCCATCGTCCGTATTTCCCTGCAATGATTCTTTGATTCAGCAGATGCTTCCTCTGTGAGGGGAAAAATAACCAAAATTATCTTCTGCACCAGGCTTCTGAGGGAATCTTTTGTTGAATTAAAGGATCTCTGCTACCAGAATAATGTCAGTGTTTTATCAATATGGTATATTCCCAGCATAACAATCTAATTACGGTATTATTTTGAATAAACTTCTTGTTTTATGTACAGTAGCAGTTTAAATACATCAGTTAATGGCAGTGATGAACTTACCTTTTGACTCTGTCTTTGACATTCCTTGCAGTGTTGTTTATGTAGGACATTACTAAAAAATGAATCATTCCTACTAATCATTCACACTAAAAAGTTACCTTCCTTTGTGTTCTTGTAATGCCCTTTGAAGAACTATATAAGAATTATTTGTGAATAGACTTTCCAGTATTTATTTAATTTATTTATTTATGTCTCACTTTTCTTCCAACAAGGGACATAAGGCAGCATACACAACTAAAAGAAAAAAAAATACATATATTTAAGATCACAAGGAATGAAGACATTAATGTTAAAATATGATTAAATCAAAACAGTGTTAAAAACATAATTAGTTAAAACAAGTTAAAATATATTTAAAATACCTAATAAAAATATGCTGATAAAAATAAGCTGCATCCCCTACTTACAATTTGGCATTTTCTGGGAATTATATGGGGAGATATCGTCCTTCAAATATAGTCTGGACCCAAACCATGTTGAAGTGGCTTACCATGCTTTTTGTCATTTTTTCTGTTGGCATGTTCATCTTACCTCTCACACAAAATGATGATGGTCTACTTCCAAGGAAATGGACATTACTTTGCAATGTTGGTTATCTGAGGTATCACTGGAAAATGACTCATTTATGTTAAAGATTTGCTTTCCTCCATCACTTTATGAGTGAACTGCTGTTCCATTTTCTGAAGCAAACATGTCGTAAGGCCTTTACTATCAGTATGGGATATACTGAGTACTTCATCAGCAGACTGTCATAGAACATGTCATTGAGCCAAAGCTTTGCAAGCAGTTTGATCCATGCATATGGCTAGGACTGGGATGCCAGAAGTATTAGCAATTTATTCTATATCATTGTGGCCTCATCCTTGCCATTGGGTTCATGCTGGTGTCAGGCATTTCCTAGCTACCACCCTGGTAAACAAGTTTCCAGCTCAGATGCACTTGCCAGTTTGGCAGGGACTAGTTACTACAAACCAGTGCCCTGAACTGCAAAATTTGGCTTGCGTTTTGGACATGCAGAGTGCCTGTCCATGGGAAACAACATTAGGCTCCTGCTGGCAGGCTCCACACTTGCACAGATGTAGTTGGACCTTTGATTCAGATCACTGGGAACACTTATAGGGTTTTCAGAAACTCTACTGACTTCAAGTGACATACTGACATCTCTAAACATTTAGTTTTGGCCTTGTTTCATTCTCTTTGTCCCACATGCTTGTTAATATAAGCAACAACAAAAAAAAGTGTTGGTGTACAATGCTTAAAGAGATGATGATGGAAAATGGGAGAGGGCAGTGCATTTTAAATCATGATGAATGATGCAACAGGAATAAGCTTATGTGTGCATTTTATATGATCGAATTAAGCATGAGATAACTTCATACAATCAGAAAAGATCCAAATGCCTGCTAGTTTCTTCTCAAGACCATGTCTTGCATCTGAATTTGAGCATAGTGTTGTTTGTGTATGTTTCACTAGAATTTAAAAATTCCACAGGGAAATCACCAATGCTCAAGTTTTTAAACAGCATTTTTGTGACATTCTCATTGCCTAAAGCCAGGCCTAGGAAACCGGTGGCCCTCCAGATAGTGCTGAACTCTTCATTTATATCAACCTCAACCAATATTCCCAAGGGTAAGGAGCAGCAAGTAGTACAACCGTATCTGGTGGGCCACCAACTTGCCAGTTCTTGTATATTCTTTATGTGTCATATTTTAATAAGATGCATCCTATTAGTAACTTATAACATACGAGGAAAAAACTCTACATACTTAATTTTATGTATTTCTTTTCTATTCTAAGATTTCCACCGTAAAAGAACCTTTCATTGATCTTTCACTGCCTGTAATTGAAGAGAGGGTAAGCAATTACTTGTTTCATGAATAATAGCAACTGTTGTCTTCAGTATATCCTGATATTTTGGAGACTAGTTAAAATGATTAAACAGAGACAGTAGATCTTTGGTCGCCCTATAGATTTTTTTCTGCCTCCTTGGTACCTTCAATTAATACTAGAAGGGTCAAAACTGCTTCCTGCACTGAATCACTTGTGCTGTCCTGTACATGTGTGTGTAGTCAGATGTCCGTGTGCACATGAATAGAAATGTACAGAACCTTTTCATAAATATGAATTGGCTGTGCTGGACAGAGATGTTTAAGTCATGTTGATAATCTTATTTTCAAATCAAATAATTTTTTGTATCTAATCTAGCCATTTCTCTCTCTGTGTGTGCATGTGTATGTTTTTATATATGTACTGCAGTGTACTAATTTTGTACCAGAGAGACACAAAATTGTCGGAGTTAAAAATGAACAAATATACAGTTAGCTACTTCACTTGCAAGTAGTAATCAGTGCTTCCTGGTATACAGCAATTATCAGCAATAAACATATTTAGTATATCGAGACAAGTATTCTCAGAAATCAACATTCAAGCACTCTGGTTTTGTGTGTATGAGAGAAAGAAGATACATATGTTCATCTGTAAATGTTTTACTATAAAGAAATGAATACGGGCATTTAGATATTACACTGAAGAAACACTTTGTTCAAGGTAAATCAGGTAGCAAATAACCTTTGGGGTAGCCATAGAATCAGTTCTATAGCACATTACGCAAATATGGGATCAGAGCTGTTTATGAAAAATGCTAGTTGAGTTGTATGGAAAGATCAGTTGCCCCATTAGTTTGGAATACCTAAGTCAAAAGCATTCTCTCTTTCTATTCTATAAAGACACTTGTCACATGTTGAAGTTTGACCTGTTCAGGTGTGGTTGTCCTGCTTACCCAACAAGACATTAGCCACTGGGACAATTAAGACTAGATGATATATGGCAGACCAATGCAAATCTATTTTGCATTATATTCTGTGAATATAACTAAGGCACCTATAGCCATTTTTGTTGCTAATATATGGTTGGGATATGTCTGAAAGTAAGTTAGCATTTGGCTGATCAAACAAGGGAATTAGAAACCTAAGATTCTGATGCTTGAAGTAAATGTTAGCTAAACCTCTACATTCATAATTGGCTCAAAATGTTTTACTTTTCTGAATTTTTATGAGAGACAATATAAACTGTTCTAATAAATTAATTATTTCAGTACTGTCCAGATACTGTTTCATCTGCCAGAAGGCTACTTTACTCTTGTGCTATTTGAATCAGCACAGATGAGTTTAGAGTAGATAAGGAGATCCCATACTTATCTTTCAGACTTCAAAACCTATTCCTTTTGGAAGGACAAGTAAAAGTAAACATACACACGAAGTGGATGGTGATCAGTATAGTTCTTCTGTGGCTGCTCTGAATCATCAACAATCAAAACTATCTAAGAAGCATTCATTAACAAAGGACAAGGTAAGAAGAGGGACAGTATGGCTGGTCTCTACATTAGTTTTCACATTCTTAAGACAAAACTCATTGCTTTTGTACATATTTAGGATGCGTGGGAGACTCATTTTGGACCTGACACTCTGAATCTACAGCAATGTGTTATAAATTTTGGATATATATAAGCTGTATATAAAGGGAACAAACTGCTCTACTGTTAAAATAGAAAAAAGATTTTAAGTACTTAATTCAAATGAAGTGTGTGTGCATGTATATAGTGTTTATGGAGGTAGAGACAGTGCTTCAAAATTAAAGGGATTAAAATGATTTCACTTTAAAAAATATTTCAGAATCTGTGCTCCTTTCTCTCTGCCCTCCTTCCCCTTTTTCTCCTCTGCTGTCCAAGTTTGCTTCTGGCTGCAATTGCAGGCAATGCAGAGCTCGCCAAGAGAGCAGACAAGTCAGCATTAGTGCCATTTGGTGGATCAGTTGGCAGGGTGTGCTACAGGAGAAGTACAGCCAGCACAGTCTCCCTGGAGACTTGGAACATGACTTTCATGATGTGCTCAGCCTCCAGTGGCCCAAGGGCCTGAGAACTACAGTTCAGTATCTTAACATAGTTCTTCCCAGTGGTGGCACAGCATGCTGTGTATGAGCAGGCTGCTCATGTATGAGATGCAGATATTCCTTCTGCAAATGTTCTCCTGTTCAGTATTTTACAAAAATGCTTTTTTATGTTTCTGTATTCCATTATTGAGAAGATGTAATACTTTAAGCCATTTCATATTATGGCTGTCTAAGAGTTGGACTGATGTTTGTTCTGTTTTGTTCTTTATGTTTTTTTCTCCTCCCTTCCAGTTTTTATTTTGTTGTTTTTTAATAATGTAAGCTGCCTTGGGTCCTTTTGAGGAGAAAGGTGGAACATCAGTACAGTACTTCAAATGAATACATTGTGACCAAAGATGGGCACAAACCACCAGTTTGGTCTGGTTCATTTTTTGGCTAAACCAATGTTTGGCAGTTCCCAGCCCCACCTCCCCCAGCAGACGTCCACTCAGAGAAAACACCTGGATGAGGCAGGGAAGTTGGGGCATTGCCTCTGAGTTGGCTCTCACTGGAGAAGGTGAGGCTGGGAACTGTTGAACACCTGTTTGGCCAAAAAAAACCACAACAACAAACAGACCGGCATGAACCGCCAAACTGGTGGTTGGTGTCATTTCTGTAGCTTATGGCCTACGTACTTTAGAGTCTTAACAGACTAAGAAATTGTCTTGTTAAGCAGCTGAGTAAGAAGCACACTGCCCCTGAAGTAGTCTAGTAGCATCTCCTATTCAGTTTTATTTTTAAAATGATTAGGTTGAAGTATTGTTGCTAGCAATCTAGGAAGCAGTTTAGGGTGGTCTCCTTGTCAGCTTTGTATTTTATACAAAATTTTGTTTGTTTGTTTTTTGAAAGAATGGACTGCCAGTTCCAAACACCATGTGTTGGGATCCTGTGTTCCTAGCCAAATTTAACTGAACATCTAGCTATATCTGAATATCCAAAGGCATTTGGAAAAAATCCACCATCAGTTGGGAGGCAGGCTTTTAAATTCCTGTTGCCAAGCTTAAGGCTCTTGTTCATCAAAAATAAATTTCATGATGTTAAAAAATTAATAATGCTGAATTCATCTGTGAAAGATTATGGTCCTGGAGTGGTAAGAAGCAGCAGCTGTCACCACTGCTTTGTTTTTTAATTGTCAAAGTACATAACTCTTTGTGACTAATGGCTTTTGAAGATTTTGAAGTTCTTTATTTTATTTATTTATTTATTGCATTTATATGCCGCCCATCTAGACATGGTCTACTCTGGGTGGCTCACAACATAGAAATAGAAACAATTTAAAATATACACAATTTCCATATGTAAAAACAGAGAAATATAAAATCAAAAAACTTACAATTTTAACAATTAATTTAAAGTAAAGAGTCCTAAGATGGCACGAGTTAAAAGGAAAGAAATAAGCATCACTTAATTGACTGGAGGGAAGGCCTGCTTGAACAGCCAAGTTTTCAGTTGGCTTTTGAAAACG